ATCCCTCAATAGCCTAGTCAATACTAAGATTTTCTTTAACCTTCGCAACCATACTCGCTTTGATCAGTGAATGGGGTCCTTTTGAATGGGGTACTTTTAGGGTCCTTTGGGCGTTGTTCAGATGGGTTCATGCAATAGGCGACCCAGGGGACTTACTTATCTAATCAGACACTTAATGCCAGCATACGCGATTTCTCCTGTAATTTATTTGGTATAAGGGTAACTTGGAGAATCTCCTCAAGGAAATACGCATATATTTAACTAGACTTATTGTACGTGGGTTTAGACAGTTGGAATTGTGACCGTTGCGCTGAAAGACCAGCAGCACGTTTATTGAGACATGTTTTCATTTGTGTTATTTCTAACCCTGGACACGGAACGTCCTTCCACTGGCGGTCTTTCGCTCCTTTTCTTCATTTTCGGGTCTCGCACGGTTAAGAACTAGAGGTAAGGGTATAGTTAGTATATGCAAAGTTGTTAGCGTTGAATCTAGGGAAGCTTACCCTGCAAGAAGTCTGCAGTGCGTTTCCGCATTCTGGTGTGGATATAAGCCTAGACAAGTAGGTTAATCATTGGAACACGTCCTATTTGGTGGTATGTGTTCAAGACCATACCTTCGAAGCTTTGATATGGTAGTGAAAGTAGTCGCGGAAGGTTTGTATGTGGGATATCGTCTCCGCACGTTTTTGTGGTAGGAGGTGACGGGGATAGAGGACTATATACCATTAGCGGAGTTATACCGAGATATTACTTGAGCATTTGGTCTTACCGAATGTGATGTAGCCGACTTCTCCATTTCGGGAGTCCTTTAGGCCTGGAATACCTTGAAGTTCTAGAGGTGGATCGTTGCGGAATAGGACTTGCGGGGCGTTTTGTATAGCTCGCCTTCGAACATCGGCGAATTCCTATCAAGACATCAGATGGTAAATCCAGAAATACATAGAGTAAGGGGTATAGATCAATACGGCATACCTGAAGGAACACTTTACCAAAGATCCTATCTGTCTCATCCCTGAAGATTGTGCTGAAAATAACAGTGACGCAATCGTATCCAGCCTTGATGAATATGGCCTCCTCATCTCGGTAATGGACGGTCATCACCTCTCCACCGTCCTTTAATTGTTGTGGAAGAGCTTCAAGGGAGTACTTGTTAGACTCCTCCTCGAGTTTCTGAAACTCTTCAAATCCTCTCTCGAAGGGCGAAGCCATGGCATTCCGTTTCATGAGCGCGATGCTCATAATTAGTTGATCCCTTGCCTCCTGTTCAGCTGGAAGATCCTCCAGGTCTATGAGAATTGAAAAATCATATCCAGGCTCTGGAGATACAATGTATGGTCCGTATTCTCTCCTAAGGACACCCTCCGCACCATATTGTACCAGCTCGCGGAAGCAGCGTACTGCGATGGAGATGAGGATTTTGGACTTGGTCTCGGGAGTGGAAACATGAAAGGTAACGCCGTCGAAGTCGGATACTATCTGATCGATCGAAACTGGGGCAGCTCTATCATTGATTGTCAGTTGAATCTATCCCAAGGCAGCACAAATTGGGTGGGGTATTTACCCGGAGAACCGCTCAGTTAGCAGCGAGTGTATGAGGACGTTGTGGTAATCTAGGAGTAGCATCTTTAGGGAACCAGTATCATAAAATCAATTCTGATAACCACCCTGCGCAGACGTCATGTAAGTGTTGTTTAGATCGTGTTTTTTTGCGTCGTGATACTTCTCCGTTTAACTGTATCGGCGTCAGCGATGCGTTCACTCGTCTGCACTTAATTACATAATCTTGAAATTGCTACACTGGTCTTTGAGGGCAACCGCAGCTTATCCATGGAACTCAATATTTCTTTTGCGCATTTCGAGACTTTGAAGCTTGGTGAAAGGACAGGTATTGGAGTCTCGTCTTTGACGCAAGAGAAAAATGGTAAAGTCATATTTGTAAGTTCTATTCGTCGCTCTCAATTCGAATTGCTACTAACAATATGCTTTTCATAGAAAATTCGAGGCTTCAAAGACTTTCGGCCTAGTCACTTCCGCCTCAGCAAATGCGGTTTGGCTGAAAGATGAGAAGACAGCCGGCCCAGTTCGAAAATCGGGTTCTGGGCGTGCAGTTGTAGGCGCCGGAGAGAGTGTCCTATGTTGGGACATCAAGAAGGGGGATTTACTTTCAAAATGGACTGATCAAAAATGCCAGGCGCAAGTGACAGCAATTGCGCAAAGTCAGACCGATGAAGACCTTTTCGCTGTAGGGTGAGGATACTCTTTTAATAAAATATCATACTTCTTTCTTCACGGTGGACAAACGGTCTAACTCACAAGCTATAGGTACGAGGACGGCACAATTAGAATATGGGACTCAAAATTAGCTACGGTGATGATTTCTTTCAACGGCCACAAATCTGCGATTACCAAACTAGTATTCGACGCTCAAGGAACACGAGTTGCGAGTGGTTCTAAGGATACAGATATCATACTCTGGGATTTGGTGTCTGAAGTAGGGTTAGTGAAATTGCGAGGTCACACTGACCAGATTACTTCCCTTCATTTCCTTACCACAGGTGCTGTGGATGATGCGGAAGCTCTTGTGCTTAGCCAGCACAATGGTTTCTTGTTAAGTACAGGAAAGGATTCACTGATCAAAGTCTGGGATCTCTCTTCTCAACACTGCATCGAGACACATATTGCACAAGGAAACGGAGAATGCTGGAGTTTAGGCATTTCGCCTGATATGAGCGGTTGCATCACTGGAGGTAATGAAGGCGAATTGAGGGTTTGGTCCATCGACGCGAACTCAATAAGGGAGGTTGCAGGAGGGAAAGCCGAAGTGAATAGCCGCAAGATACTGACTGATCGAGGTAACCTTTATCGCAGTGGGAAAGAGAGGACGTTGGGCATACATTTCCACCCACAATTGGATTATGTTGCCCTTCATGGATCTGAGAAGTCGACCGAGATCTGGCGAATAAAAAGTGACGAGGAAGTACAAAAGAGCCTGGCTAGGAAACGCAAGCGGAAGAGAGAGAAGGCCCGGGAGAAAGCAGGTGAAGGCGGAACGGAAGCAGACGTGGATATGGATGACCCTACCACTGCGGCCTCAATTACAGAAGTTTTTGTTCCGCATACAGTTGTTCGGACGGGAGGCAAGGTATCGTCTGTGGACTGGATGGGCTTAAAGGGGTTACAGCTACTTGTAGCTACGGCCAACAACCAACTGGAGACCTACGGAATCTCACCAGCCGAGAAGAAAAAGTCTAAGGACGAGGGTGAGCCTGATTATAGCCATGTTCTTTCCATAGATATCCCCGGCCACAGGACAGATGTGAGATCCCTCGCCTTAAGTTCCGATGACAGAATGGTTTCGTCGGCATCGAATGGAAGCCTGAAAATATGGAATGTACGGACGGAAACTTGTTTACGAACACTGGATTGTGGCTACGCTCTTTGCTCTGCATTTTTGCCAGGTGACAAGATTGTGGTTGTTGGAAATAAGAATGGTGAAATTGAGGTATTTGATATTGCATCGTCTACCTTGTTGGACACGATACAAGCACACGATGGCCCTGTTTGGTCACTTCAAGCCCATCCCGATGGTAAATCAATGGTTACTGGCAGTGCCGACAAGACAGCGAAATTCTGGAATTTCCAGGTAGTGCAAGAGGAGATCCTGGGAACCAAACGGACCACCCCTAAACTGAAGCTTGTCCACACCAGGACATTAAAGGTGACTGATGACATTCTTAGTCTACGCTTCAGCCCAGATGCCCGTTTACTAGCTGTTTCTCTTTTGGATAACACGGTCAAGGTTTTCTTTGTCGACTCCTTGAAACTCTTCCTTAACTTGTACGGTCATAAACTCCCGGTCTTGAACATGGATATTTCGTATGATAGCAAGATGATCGTTACTTGCTCAGCTGATAAGACTGTTCGGCTATGGGGTCTTGATTTTGGTGACTGTCACAAGTCTTTCTTTGCTCATCAGGACAGTGTCATGGCTGTGGCCTTTATGCCTCACAACAAGGAAGGTGATGGGCATAATTTTTTCAGTGTGGGCAAAGACCGAGTTATCAAGTATTGGGATGGCGATAAGTTCGAGCAAATTCTCAAACTTGGGGGTCACCACGGCGAAATTTGGGCACTGGCCATGAGCCATTGTGGAGAGTTCATCGTCACTTCCAGCCATGATAAGAGCATACGACTCTGGGAACAGACAGATGAACAGATATTCCTGGAAGAAGAACGAGAAAAGGAAATGGAAAGTTTGTACGAGGACAACCTGCTCAAGTCCCTGGATCAAGATGAGGACGACGAAGACAAGGCTGAGGCAGTCGCAGCCGGTAAGCAGACGACTGAGACTCTCACAGCTGGAGAAAAGATCATTGAAGCTTTGGATCTTGGTATGGATGATCTTGCACTGCTACGAGACGCAAAGGAAAAGAATCTCCCACCTCCTACACGACACCCGCAATATCTTGCTCTTGGAAATATATCAGCCGAGCGATACCTTCTCAACGTTATTCGAAAGATACCCGCTGCCTCGCTACATGACGCACTTCTCGTTCTTCCCTTCACCAAACTTTCTGCCCTATTCACCTTTGTGGATATATGGGCTAGAAAAGGATGGGATATACCGCTTACCTGCCGTGTCCTGTTCTTCATCCTAAAGACGCATCACACACAGATCGTCAGCAGCAAGATGATGAAGCCCATGCTTGACTCTATCCGCTCTCACCTGCGCCGAGTCCTCGACAGGCAAAAAGATGAAATGGGCTATAACCTGGCGGCTCTGCAGTTCATTGGCGGGCAGGTGAGAGAGAAGAGCAGGTCAGACTACGTCGATGAAGAGCAGTGGGGACAAGACGAGCAAAAGCAGACTGGTGTGAAGAAGCGGCAGTACGTGTCTGTTGCGTAGTGTTTTTTTGGCCACGCATAATATACTTTTTATTATTTTATTTGCAAAGTACCAAGGGTGTTTTGTTGCATTTGAGGGATACCAAAAAGATGTCGTCTTACTTTCTGTTTTACCCAGACGGCGCATTGGAACAAAAAAAAAAAAAAATTCGATTGAATAGAAATAAAATAGAAACAACATAGAATCAGTATTATTTCGTTAGTATGCTATGCCTATATCTACAATCTTGGCCATGAATTGGAGGGATAATCCTGCGGTTTGACACAGTAGACATAATATACCACCGCCCACCGTTTATATATCCAAACAGCATCCCCACAACGAATCCTAATACAGGCATATCATTGATATTCCACGGTATATATATGGTTCGATTAGCAGCTTTTCTTTCCTAAGGCACGAAGCAAATTAGCACACTGTACCCACTGATATTCTCGATAGACAATGTGAGTAGCGAGTAGCTGAAAAGGATAAGAGGCACTCCAAAACCATACACAGCTTTCCTCAGCAGAACCATTTTAAGCATCGACGACACAAATAATATATTAACCCGCTCCATGTGGTAACGGTTGCCATACCTCTTCCGGCTCTTCCTAAAAGTACTTGGTTCGTATGGTATTCATCATATGAAAGCTGTGTATGGCTTGGAGTAGTGGCAATGCGTAGGAAGAGCCAACTTACATCTATACAGTCAGTATTCAGTGAGTCTAGTGATATCGAATGACATTATCAGTCGACGGGCATAGCTAACGAAGAGCTTGCAGCGAAGGAATCAAAAAAGAAAATGTGAAAGCGCAAGCGACTTTTATCAACATAGCATCACGTGGTGTAATTATGTAACCACAAAACAGCCTGTAAAAGCAGCAACCAAGAAAAAAAAAAGGAAAAAAGAGAAAGCCGAACGCGAGGCTCGAACTCGCAGCCTTGTGGTGATCTCAGACCGTGTTTGCTGTAAAAGCCACACGCTCTACCGATTGAGCTAGCCCGGCTTCGATGATGGTAGGCACGGCATGGAATATATATCACTAGCAGGTGAAGGCTGCGACCCCTTTTGTATCGGTCCTGCTTCTCTTCCTCTCTTCACAACAACGATATCAGCTTGCCACAGTTTCTAGATTAAAAATACAGGAAGAGATGATCTTAGAAGTCGGCCATGGCTAGTAACTGTGATGTTTTTGCTGCCTTAGACTGCGGGGGTCTCGTAGAAAGGTGACATTATCAAGGTCGGATACGAGCACGCTGGGGTTACAGGGGCGTTGTTTACTCCAACATGTCCGTCTAATGTTTCATTCATTTCGTTGAATTCTGGCTATGTACATCTAGTTGCGTTTCGGAAGAACTCATACGGTACTCTTTGATAGTTTCCCCGCTGGTAGATCCTCCAGTATCTTCTAACCAACTCCCGGCAGAAGCAAGAGAAAGCAAGTGTTGTCATCAATCATTTCCAATTACCATCCATTTAGCTGGTACCAGAGCAAGCAACAAAGCCGTTGCCGCTAGCACCGGTATGAGTGATCTGACCGGCCTCGTCGCAGTTCCCGGTGATGATGACACGGTCAGCGCCGGGAGAGCCTATATCATACTGTTAACCATTGCACATGTCGAGCATGTTAAATTTGAAGGAGTTAGTACATACCACCGTTGTAGACGCCAGAAGTGCGGAGAGGGAACTCGTAGAATGGCCCACTGAGGCCGTTGAAATAGAAGCCCTCGTAGTTGCGGTACTGGTGAGGGTAGGTAGAGCCGCCGGCAGTGGTGCCGCTCTGAACGTAGTTGCAGGCAGCGTTGCTAGCAGCGGTGACCTGGCTGGCAGAGTAGGAGGTGCTGCCGCAAGTAGTGGCACCTCTGGCCTCAAGGGCAGCTGGGGCGGCAGTGGCAGCAGTCACAAGGGAGAGGAGGGCGAGGAACTTCATGGCTGTGTTGTCTGATCTAAGTTCGAGGGTGTCTTGGGTGGTTGCTTGGTTGGCTGCTCCAACACAACAGCTCCAGGGACAGCCTGCTCTCTTTAAATGTCCAGCATGATCAGACACATTGAGCAGCTTGCCAGGCTGATTACTTTACTCGCTTCTCTCTCCCGCGAGCTGGTGGAAATCAGCCTGACCATGGACCATGGGACGCGGCATCCTGACTGGCGGACGAGCCGTCGATCAATGGCAACAGCTCCCTCGCTGCTGTCCCGCAAAACTCAAGTAAGACGAGCCACTCAACGCCGTGGCCTGGGCAGCATGTGCGAGTCGGTGGAACTCGAGAGTTCCATTTTTGAGGAATTCTGCTGTCTGCAGATGTGCTGGATACGAAGCAGAGCCCAGGGACGGACATGGCTGGATATCTCAATTTAAGCATCACCTGATGGGCGCTGCCGAAGCGCTGTCGTTGGCTGGCAACAGCAGCATCCGTGGCATCGTAGTCGTCCTAGTGGCTGATCCCCCAGGTTGCTGGCCCTGTTGCATGCGGCATTGACGAGATGCATGTTCAACTAGTGCTTGCATGAGTGGACGGACCCGAGTTCGTCGTCCTTCGAGCGGGCGTAACTACGGCTCTCGCCGAAAGTGCAGCGGAGCTCGGTACCTGTAACCACCACCTGTCGGTTAGCCTGCAGATGGAGATAGTTAAACAGGCCGAGACAAACATCGAATTATTGGGAGCTGCAAAACCAAAGAATCAAGCACGCCGACATTATATCTAGATATTAACTAATCATAGCAAAATATATACTTGTAATGGAAAAAGCAAAGAGGATGATGGGAGGAGGCCAAACAAATATCCTCGCGCGATGTAACTGGCTGATATGGTGAAAATGTTCAAAGAATATTCTGTCAGTTTTTTGTATTAGTCATCTTATCTCGCTACACCTTGCTTTAGCACATTCGATAGATCCTCAATATCATCATCCTCCTCTCTGATATATTCAAAAGACTTTTATCGGAGTAATTACCGAATATGCTCGGTGATCGTAGAGATGGCAAGCCGGAAATCCCGTCCGACGGCGATGGCCTGCTCCCTGGTCAGGACGGATGACCAGTAGGTTATGTTTGCTGTCATCTCTGCTTCGCCAACAGTGACCACAGTGACAATGTCATACTAAATAGTGCAGTTCGTCAGCCATGTGCAACCATCGGGGGGAGATAAATTAACTAAATAATTGACAAGGGGAAAGAAAAGAAAGCTATTCGTACCTCCGTAGCCTCACAGGTCTCAAGTGCTCCGAAGTGGACGCCTGGTTCCTTCCGGTTGCTATTGGACAATGGCTGTTCTACTGATAGACAGGTGTTGAACAAAGATCTGGTGCTGTCTATACGCTGCATCACCCCGAACAGTGAGCAGTACTGGTTGGATAAACGGCTTGCCATCGCGACCTGATTTTCTTGCAGACATTCTCTTAAGGACATATTCTCACTTAGAGTGAGCTGACACGCAAGAACGTTGAATCAATATTGAACCGACAATGTCATGTACTCCCGGTCGCGGTGCCTCTCTGCCCGTCACCAAGGTCCCAAAGCACACATCGTCAGAGCTAGTGTGCTGTCGAAGTACGACACCCCAGGCAATCTGGAGCAGGTTGGTGATCGTTAGGCCGTTCAAAGCACACAGCTTTCTCGGAGGGCTAGGATGTCCCAAGCTCACTTCCACTGAATTAAGAAAGTCCGTAACGGGCTGTATTTCTCTCGGCAACCGCGGGAAGTGGCATGGCTTTGCACCAGCAAGGTATTCAAGCCAGAAATCCATGCACTCGGCCAGAGAGAGGGCATATGAGACCCAAGAGCTTTACTTTAGCCCTTGCCTATATGGAAGTTTTACCTCGTACGCTAGCCCAAGTTCTTTTATGAGTAGTATCACAGAGACTGCATCGATAATGGCATGTCTGCCTTCCATCTTACAATACTCTTGGCCGTATTGGTTTGGCAGATAGAAGAGACATGCGGAAGAACAAGCCAGCGTTATCCCTCGAATTCAATGTTGGGTGACGTAGGACGTGCATGGCTTCATCATCTGTGCAGCAAATTATTTTCACTTCGCGAGGATATGAATCAAGTACAACATGCGTCAAGGTCCCGCCTTCAACATCTTCAAGGGCAGCCTCAACCAATATCGTCCGCAAAGCAGCATGGCGCCGTGCGAGCTGATACCACGCCTTTTGAAGCTGGACTGGATCGATTTGATTTGTCGATCCCATCCTTTCAACTTTCCATATTGTGTGAGAGACATATGTATCATTCCCCAATTGAGAAATAAGTAGTCCTTCGTGATACGGTGTGCATGGGTATACTTCTTCAATACTCATAGTAGCTGAAGACCCTTAAAGATTTTCCACCTCCCACTCAAATCGTTTTGTTCGCTTGTACCTAGCTAGGTTCATTGATGGTGGGAGCTTAGCAGCCTGCTTTGATCTCGCTGTTATGTGTCTCACTGTCCTTCCTTCAAAAATATCCATGGCCGTGATTGAAAGCTTGTCACGTTGACATTGTGACACTACTTGCATCACAGAAATGGAATCACCTCCCAAAGTGAAGAAGACTTCGTCGGGGTTCAAGTGCAAGACTCTGGAGATAATGGATGCAAGCTTCCTTTCTGCTTCAGATTTCGGTTGTTGGCGGCCTGATCTCTGTAGCCAAGCTTCAACTTCGTTCAAGTCCGCCGTGTTAGAGCTTCCTTCAAGTTTTAGCGGTCTTGTTCACAGATGCCATTATCCCAAATATACCAAGCGGGATGCACATGGGAGGTGCTGTAACGAACTCTGTCACCGTGTGAAGCTGGCATTTTTGGAGCGCCAATATCTTCCTTGAATCACAATTTGGAGACGCCAAAATGAAGGAGTTATTAGGAAAAGAAATGTCCCCTTTTTGTGGTCCCTTGTCATTGCATGGCACGAGAAGGGCTAACCTTGGGTTAGACGTTAGTTTGGGGGTTATCATCTCTGCGTACACATGTCTGTTTCCAATGAGGTTTCGGGCAGCCGCTTCTATAGCTGCCAGTCGGGTTTTCTAGGAATTTAGCTGTTCCACCTTGCATTCGTCGTGAACTGAAGAACCAAGTTTCCACATATCCATCACCTCACCCAACGTTTGACTTTTCACAGAGTCGACCAGCCGAGTTAAAAGGTATTCCAATTGCTCCAACATGGCGTTCACTTTGTCCAGTGATAAAACAGCAGCGTCGAATATAGCTCTGACCGACACCGACTCGACGTCAAGCTCACATATTACAGTCAGAACATAAGTGCAAAACTTCGTCTCGTCCTCGAGCGACTCTCCAAGTTTTAGAAGCCAGGTTTGAGGATTTTGATTATTCTTAGAGAAAGGCTGGACCACCAGCAAACTCTGGAAATCGCAGGCAGTCGATGTCTCAGGGCTGCAAGTTCTAATTGCCTGCATAGCTGTCTGTCCAAAAGGAATCAGAGCCGTGGCATGGTCATGGACCTTACTAGAGCCACCTTTATGGGATCATTCCGGTCAAGTACAGTGCGAACTGGGAGAGTTGCAATTGTCGGTCCAACGATCTTTTCAATTCCAGGAACAGGTGCGTTTCTACCTGTTACGGTGGCGCCATAAACAACGTCGTTTGATTGAGTATCTTCGCGCTATCGGCATTGCCCAAGATAATCGAATTAGTGTTGATGCTGTGAACCCTCCCACTCCAGTTGAGGTTCCAAGTGGAACATTCCTGCTGGCTACTGCTATCTCTCTAGGTACGTAACCCCCGGGCATGCGGAGAGGGAATACTGGAGCTTTCAAGCTCTAAAATTCGTTCTTCCAGAATGTTTTGGTACATTCAGGAATGACAGTCGATAGGTGGTGAACAAACGGAGCAAATTGGAATAATTCAACCGTCCTGCTCTCGTATGCTGCTTCCACTACCTGTAAGATTTGTTCATAACTCCATTTATCAAAGAGCGCATGGTGCTTTTCCAGAGTAAATATTGGAGCTTCATTCTTCTGGCGGCAACTGTTGTTCATGATACATCTGACAAGGGGGGTTCCATATGACATGGGATCTGCAGCTGCCACATCTCCATCATCGGAAGAAAACCATCTCAATTTGTCTTTGACAATTACCTAGAGAGCTCAGAAAGAAGCATCCGTCTGGATGATGCGAGTGCGAAATATAGGTGTGGAATTAGAGGTATAACACCAGGCTTCGTGGAATTTTTGGGTATCAATAGTGTCGGGGAGGCGAAAGATGAAGCGTGCCTGGAAAGAGCCGGGATTCCTTGCACTCCAAGACATGAGCCCTTCTTGCAATGAAATGCAACCATATATGTCTTCAATTTGGTCTCTGCTGACTTGACATTGTTCAATTGCCTGTTCGGTAATTGCTTGCAATTCCGATGTCTTCAGCATGGAAAAGGGAGCCCAAGTTTGCATTGACTCTGGAGTAACGAATTCCAAGGTTTGTGCCATCTCATGTATAGTGGGATTTGCAAATAACGAGGCAACTTTGATTTGTAAGTTGTGTTCCTCTCGCGCCATACCAACCAGTGTGATAGCACTGATCGAATCTCCGCCGAGTTCGAAAAAAACTGTCTTCCATTCCAACTTCATTTTCAGACAATCCAAGCACCTTAGAGTATAATTTTTGAAGAAGACGTTCCGAATCTGTGGTAGGCGCAGCTTTCAAGGTACGCGAATCCATGATTTCCTTGATGGAAGATTTTTGAAGAGCAGATCGATATTGTTGAAAGTCTGGCTCTGGGAGGTTTGCAACTGCATTCCTCAGTATCTTCCTATCTATCTTCCCTGTCCGCGAAAGAGTTGACAAGAGGAATTACGGCTGTGGGTATCACGTATCTTAGAAGTTCGTCTCGCAGTTTTTCCTCCATTTCCTGAGCAATAACTTGGAAGTTCTCATTCAATGGTCGAAATAGAGTGTCTAATGAATCACCAGAATGCTCCTGAATGCCTTGTTCTTTTGCAACAAACAATACCAAGGACGGGGATTTCTCTTTTTGACTGGCGGGAACAACCATTTCGGCAGCAACAACAGAGTCAGGAAACCATTTCTGTGTATGATGTTCCACGTCACCGAGTTCAATCCGCTATCCGTGAAGCTTCACCTGCGTGTCCTTTCGGCCTTGGCACATTATGGTTCCATCTGAATTATACCGTGCAAGGTCTCCTGTTTTGTAGAGCCTCATGTTACTACCCATCGGGGTCACCTTGGGTAGCCAGTCTGGATTCTGGATGAAGGCAGAAGCCGTCTGTTGAGGCCGATTCAGGTATCCCCGACCGACAATGAAGCCTCCAATGACTAGTTCACCTGTAACGCCGATGGTTACAAGTTGATGATGGTTATCTTTATCCATAATCCAGCATGTCTCTGCGTATGAACGGCCAATGATTCCAGGCTGGCAATCTTCTGACAGGACTGTTGACACCACAGTACACTCGGCAGGGCCGTAGGCACATACCAAACGCACTTTATCGCTCCACATGGATATATCTGCTGGAAGCATAGCCTCTCCTCCAAGTACTAGTGTTTTCACTGATGGAATATCTTCCGGCTGTAGGAGTCGTGCGACAGAGGGCGTCAGCTCCATCCAGTTCACGCCCAGGCCAACTATTGCATCTTTAAGTTGATTGACGCGCTGTGATTCTAAGGGTATACAGACACATCCTCCCAGGATCAAGGGAGTTAGGTTCTCGTGGATGCTTACATCGAATGGGTATGATGCGAATTGCAGTACTCGAGAGGAATGGTCGAGATTATGCGCGTTGCTGCTCGATATTGAATTCAGACAAAACGAAGAATGCTCTATCATTATTTCTTTTGGTATGCCTATTGAACCCGAAGTATATGCAATGTAGGCAACATCATCGGGTCTGACAGGTGTCTGACGAGGTATATGTATCTTTTTGTCATTTTTGATGGTGTTGTCCACAACAATAACAGTCTTGACGAAGGTGGAGCTAGTGGTGCGTTGCTCAGCAGAGGATATGATGACCGTGGCCTCGATATCTCTGCAAATCGCTTCCGTCCTATTGAGGAATTTCAAATAACATATACTGAACTCTCCCTTCAACGACAACCGGAAACTTCAAGAAATTGTGTTCATAGTTAACAATAAGATTCTTTTATTTGGGAAGGAAAATACCTTCTTCTCAATATTGTTGTCTGCAATATCAACAGTGTTTGATATCGAGCAGGCGGTAAAAGCTATTATGAGGTATGAATACAGTTGAAAGCCGAAATTTCTTGGGTTGTAAAGTTCTGTCAAATTTGATTGCAGGTAGGTAGTGGCCTGACGGATCTTTAGGCAACCAGGGCCTTGTCTCTCTTAAGCGCTGGACATGAGATACATGATTACTTTTGTGGTAAGAACTCCCCCCCCCCCCCCCCCCCCCCCCATCACTCCTGCCGACATGTTGGGACTGGCGCCTGGGTATCACGTACGTAGAACACCAGTTATAAATAGGCATTAACCGCCGGCTGTTCGCTAAGATGAGTCAATCACCGATACTACGCGCCACTCATTTTTGGGTTCGGGAGTACTATCCGCTCCTTCTTGATTGGCATTTAACATGAGCGGAATTATCACAAGGAACTATTTTAATATAGGGGCTTTGTATAAGAAGAGCTAATGGCTGTGCGAACTGATTTGGAGATCAACGAAGTTATTGGTCATGGCAAGACTCTTGTTGATTTTATCTAGATACTACTTGGAGGACTCAAAGCTTTTGTGTACCAATTGCACCAAGCTCCTAGCGCTTAAAATCTCCTGCATTAGAAAGTCGTCATATGCAAGCTCTTCTGCAGTAGGCCTTTCCTCAGGAAGCCAGCGCAGTACTCGTCTTAGAAAACCTAGATAAAGTCCCCTATCTTCGCCAGAGAATCGCAACTCCCTCATCTCCAACGATTGTTCTGGTATAGGTATGGAACCATTTCAGTTTCCCAACCTTCAGCATTAGAGGTGACCAAAAATATTATACGAGAGGCTTACCTTGGCTATCCCAGTACTCATTAGATTTTTGACTTCTTCTCAGAAACTGAGCAGGAGGTCCCATTAAAGAGACCATTTCCGCCAGGTGCTGCTCATCATTCAGGACTCGATTCTTGTTTGCAAAAAAAAAAAAAACAGATTACTTTCTGCCAAATCCCAGAAATCCCAGATCTATGACTGTCAAACTTCAGTCCACAAATTAACAGCCGGTACGGATTAGACACACCATAGTGCCCATTGACCATATGTCGACCTTGGAATCCCATTCGTATCCGAAATAACTTCCGGCGCGCGATAAATGCCTGGCATAATATCGCCTCTATGACCTTGGGGTCCAATTCTTGCTTCGCCTAAATCAGAAAGAACTGGCAACCCAGTAGCAGTAGGCATTGGCCTAGAATAGTAGACGTGGCGATCATCCAACACTTTTCTGGCGACTGGTCTCCTATTTTCATCCTCCTCGAGTTAAGCTAGCATGGAAGTGTCCTCAATTCCTTGTAGCAAGTTGTTCGATGAAATATCTATCACTCGTATTAGTACAAGCATCTCATGAACTAGTGGTATTACAAACCAGTGTGGATAACGTTGTTTTCATGCATGAAAGCCAGGGAGATGAGAGTGAGCTGCACGCTTCTCTGAATGAAAGCCTTTGGCAGCGTTTTACCATCAGACATGCTCTGAAATTCGGTAAAACTCATCCCCAAAGGCTTGTATATCAGGCAAGTATCTTTTCCGTGAGGCCCATCAAGCTCAAAGAAATCAAGAACTAGTCAGACCAGCTTCTTTCCGAAGTGATCACCAGAATTGTTTAAGTGTTCTGACACGGTGGGTTCACGGTCAGGTCTTCGTCCACGGGTACATACTTTCAGCGTGTAGTATTGATGGCTCCTGCATCCAATTGGATATTAAACGTAATTGCTCAATAACGTCTAGTCACAGTGTCATACTGAACGTCACGGCAAAGCCATATCGTTGAAGTTGAACCAAATCCTAGTTTGGCAACGACCAGATATTTTGACGCAAGCACATCTCCAATATAAACCGGATAAAAATCTTCTGCAATATATTCGGGGAGTTCTTCTTCTTTGGTCTTCCCTGAAGAGTCCAGCTTCACAAAGGGTGTTGTTGACAGTTTGCGAGATCGCGAGGCTGATGTCATAGTTATTGACAGTTTAGGGCGCTGTGGACCATAAGCGTACAGGGTCGGATATCTGAGGATTAACAAAGCTCTCAGGCTGCGTCGGCCGATTGACATTGCTGGGCAATCAATACTTAAGTATTGAGCTCCTAGGGATGAATGTTCTCAACTTTTACAATTTTTGAGGCGGAGTACTAACTTGTTAGTTACATAAGTAGGTTAGTTAAGTAACGTTTAGTAATGCAGTCACATATTCCATCGAGGTCTGCAAACTTGAAAGATAACTTTACGTAACTATACAGGTCTTCAGAACCTGTCATGTAGCGCATATTTACTCAGTGACAATATCAGTAGAAAAACCGGGGCTTTGATTGGGGCCGTAACTAGTGGTGGTCGGCATATTCCACCGTCTGTAAAGTCGACTTGGCTTTATATAACTAACTAGCTAGTCACTAAGTTTGTTTTGTTTCTAGTTTCCTCAAGGACTCAATCAGTCAGCTTCATCGTCCCACAGGCAGAACATGTCCACCATTGAGACTCCATAAAAGCTCCGCAACAATGGCACACCCACCCCAAATATCGTTTTGGCTTCGGAGGTTGATTCTTTTCGAGCTCAATAATAGCCTGGACTGCAGATTTGCGAGTTTTTGTCCAACCATGTCTTCCAGATGGATACGGTTGCTTGCCAATCTTTTTTTCCTGGGCAAGCTTTGAAATCGCTTTGGAAGGAGGGGAAAAATTTGTGTCTGAGGTACGCTCGGTAGCGCATACTTCACAGGCAAGGAACAAGGGCTTATTGATAAACGTACAAGTGGAACACGTCCAAGACTTTATGTCGTTTATATCCGAGTTTGACGAGAAGATGGTACTGTTTGATGATTGAAGTTTGGAAGAAGTTCCCGCAGGGTTCGGCGTTGGGGGTACTAGAGCCTGAGGGCCCATAGGATTCGACGAGCTAGGAGGCGTATATGCGTCGCCATATTGTTCCCTCTCTTCTTGCTGGATAAGCTCAATGTAGGCTTCCATAATAGCTTTCTCATTTGCATCTTCCATTTCGGCCTTAGTCCGAAACCCGTTTCGAGTAGCCTCTTCTGCAAGTCTATCGCCTTCTGTAGTTCCACTTGCACAGCCTTTAGTAACTGAGGCTCGCCTCTCGGCAGCATCTGCAAGAACTTTTCGTATATCCGCTCCTGGAAGGGCCGGGGCACCACCTAGTTTCTTGCCGGTGCCAGAAGACAGCACACACCGCTTTTCTGCTGCGGCACGGGCGAGTCGACGAGCTTCATCCATGGGTATTCGTCTTCCTCCCAGCCGATGACCGGTGGACAGAAATCCTTCACCAGTATAACCTCTGCTTAGCAGCTGCTCGTGTTCATCTCGAAGTTGATTCCATAGAGCATGGAATTTTTGATCATGCGGACCATGAACTATATGACATAACCTAGGTTACTATCAGATATGTCTGCTTCCTTATATTTCAGGGGTATCGGAATCTTTAGAACGAAAACTTACTCATGAAGCATAGTGTCAACCACTTGTTCTATTGGAAGAAACTGTCTTTCATCGTATGGCTGCCTTAATCGAAGGCATATTTTCTGTCCGTGGTTCACGTTTAACCCCAGTAGATTCTGGGTAGAAGGGTAAAATTCACAGAGGGTCCCAACCTTCCACATCCGCTGCCTCATAATCGGCTTAACCATAGAAGCAACTTTGCGTAGGGTTAATAGCGCTTCTGCTTCACGAGGTCGGTGTTTATCATGTTGAAACTCCGAAACAAGAGGGTCAAGCTCCCTCATTCTTGCTTCCCAGGGATATTCAATCACACCAGATAACAGGTGGTGGGGATAGTGCGACTGCTAGGAGAAGATATTATATCAACTGTTAAAATTATGAGATTATGCTCCAAATGCCAGATAATCTCCTTTACAAGCTAATATATTTGTAGCGAATATACAGGGTATCAAAAAGCTCTGGGAGGTGTTGCTTAAGAAAAGAAGGTCGACTGTGAATCCAGGTGGTTAGCCTGCTCGGAGTTAACGCTTGTCATTTCCCAGCCTGGATTTATAAACCACGGTCTGATGAAGACGCTTCGACCGTTTTCTTCACCCTTCTCTTCACCCTGCCCGTCTTGGTCTTTTTTACTGTTCTCCTAGGCCAGGCTGCTATCAACGTCGACGCGGTTCGAAAAGCTTAAACTAGCAAAAACCTTATCTTATCTAGATCTCGGTTCTTACTTATTCCGCTCCGAGGGCGGGAAACGTCGGCAGAATCTGTTTTTTTCGTCATCGAAGTTTTTATGAAGCTCACCAACTCGCGATTGTTTGTTCAATCGTCTTAACTTGACAAAATTATATGCAATTAAAGGAGAAGATAGCTGTGGTTTTATACTGGTTAACACTGAAATTAAGGAGCCATGACGAGTGATGATAACTTCTTCTTTGGCTATGTGAGTGAGCTTTCGCCTAAACACTAGGTATGAGAACCTAGAATGCTGATATAGATGGCTCTAACTATATAGTTAGCTTGGGTTCCTACCAACGTGACAAAATACTCCAACGATCTGGCAAACTCGATCGATAACCATGTTGAGAATGCAGCTTTCTCCATTCGCGAAGCTTTATCCAAGCAGTCATGGATCCCTGCATCCATACGGCCGCCTCCGCCGAACCCTAAGTTCTTCTCGGATACCTTCCTGCCTCCAAAATCTATGTTTGAAAGATGCCAGGACTGGGTCGCGACACATCGAGTATTAACTGTATCAGCATTAGCGTTCGTTGGGACGGGCGGTGCCTTATTATATGGACAGCGGAAATTTCAAGTTAGACGAAGAAGAGCTCGACGTGCTGGCACTGGAGCTCGAAAAGAGATAGTTGGTAGGTGTTGAATGTCCTAATGCCTACCTATGAGATATCCCGTGGAATTACTTACCATGAACATAGTAATATCTGGCTCACCTCACGAGCCCATGACAAGATCGATTGCCTGCGACCTTGAGAAACGGGGGTATATTATCTTCGTTACTGTTACATCAACAGAGGAACAACACGTCATCGAGAGTGAAGCGCGAGAGGATATTAGGCCGTTATGGTTTGACCTCTCACAAGTACGTAGTTACATAACGTTGCTCCACCTCTCTAGGCCCGTCCTTTTTCTAATCAACCACATAGACTCCAGCAACTCCGTCGGACATACATCCTTCCCTCTATGTGATACAATCCCTGATTACCCATGCGCAGACTCCATCACCTGGGGTACCGGCCCATTCCTGTCAGCTAAGCGCTGTTATTCTCATACCTTCCCTCAACTACCCTACGGGCCCGGTTGCAGCTATCCCAGCGTCCAGCTGGGCTGACACGATCAACACGCATCTCTTATACCCTATCCTCACCACTCAATTCATCCTCCCTCTCCTCACGCTTAAGTCGAACACCGCTTCCGTCGTCTTCGTATCTCCAGCCATTCAATCCGCCCTCTCCGTTCCATTTGCTAGTCCCGAAGTAGTGACTACACGCGCTATATCCGGCTTTGCTACAAGCTTACGGCAGGAGCTGGGTCTATTAGTTTCATCGAATGGCAATTCTAGTGGCGTTGTTGATGTTGTCGAGGTGAAAATCGGTAACATTGAACTTGGTCGCCAATATCGACGTGGACAAAGACATAACAACAAAGGAACAGAACTCCTTACATGGAAACCGCACGAGCGGGCTCTTTATGGGTCTCCTTACCTCTCGAGCATTGACTATCGCCTGGGAAACCCTGTAAATATAGCCCCGAAGTCTAGTCCGGCGCGAGAGTTACATTACGCAATCTTCGATGCAATTGCTCCAGCTAAAAAGACCATTTTTGGATGGTGCAAAAAGAAGCCTCGCACTATTTATGTTGGTCGAGGCTCGATTGCATACAGCATCATTTCGCGAATCATCCCTGGTGGAATGGTTGGATGGATACTTGGTCTGCGACCTAGCTCTCTTGATACCTATGCTGAACCACCACCGGCCGACGAAGTCATTGCAAGCAGCAGCGAGGCAGGCTGGGAGAAAGTTGCAGGTGCCTAAAAGGTGTTATTTGTTTGCCCAGCCCCTAATGTATTTTTATCGTATGTCATCCTACATTTGTCTCTTCCCTCACTTTTTACGGTCATGGCTGGTCTTCTTTAAGCCGGAGTTATGTTTGGGACATCATGTTGACATGTATGATATTACGAACTTTGTAATAGCAGCTGACACTTTGAATATATCGAAAATTCGTATATACAAATCGCGAAATATACTTTAAAGGACCAAGCAGATCTTGTAAAATTAATATTAAAACCACTAGATAGATACATCATTAATCAGGGTGGAAGGACCCTTGATCGTTGTAGGGCTTAGTCCCTTCAACCAGGGCAGTAAGGGGATCAGATATCCCCTACTTCACAAGAAACGTATATTCAGAAGAGAGTAAGCGCGAAGGGTACATGGGGTATGAACTCCAACCAGAAATAATACGCATCAAAGATTATGTTTCGCTAATTTGTTGAAGTGCAGCAAGGAGGATAAATTATGGTCATTTTTCTGGGCCCATTGCTATCTCTTCATCCACTCGTACTGGCGGCGTTGCAAGAATTTTCTTGCCGCCGGTCAGGCGCTTTCTTAACCAGATTATAAGCCAAGATGCACCGAACAAAATAGCAATCCCAATGGCAATCCCAAACGAGTATCCCGTCACAAGACCGCTGCGCTCACCGTTAACTCCAGGGTCAAGGAAGCTATAAGTGTAAAATCCGTGTAAAGAGTGGTTGAGGAAGGCCAACGCTGTGTATAGAAGGAGTATGATGATCAGGAATGGCAGATGGAGGAGCGGAAAAGGTTCTGTAGCTGGGATAACGAGCTCAAAAATGGCATATCCCGTTTGCATAATATGCTTGGAAACCTGTAGAGGACGACAAACGGGTTAGAATGTCTCAACACCATGACTTTTTGCGGGAAGAATGCCAAATAAAAACTTGCATTTGACCAGGCCTCAAAAACCTCTGGAAACCATGGGCCGCCGAAGAGCAGTGTCCAGTACAGTATCGTGACAATGATCGGTAGGATGATAATCGACGAATAGAGCAAGCTGTGCAGCGCGCGCAGGAACCGCGGGGTCTTATCGAAAAACACGGAGCGTCCCGTCCGCGCGTAGACGAAGCTGTGAATCGCAGCAAAGAGGAAGTAAAAAGCTACTCCCCAGTAGCTCAAGTTGGTGAAGTAGACGAACATGTCCTTCATGTTGTCGACCTGGTGGTGCACCGCCCGCCATCCGATGACGAAGAATATGGTCACGAAAGCATAGAGCGAGAAGGCAGCTCGAATACACCCGAGAACGAAGGGCGAGACGAGCCAGGAGGTTTCGAAGGCATGGAGATGGTCCTGCGAAGGGTCTGCGCCCATAAGGCTCATGAACGAGCGCATCGTGGATAACTGACTATCCGCCTCGACTCAGGCTACTATCTATTGCATAATAGCTGCTCGCGGAGCCTGGATATTTATTGCACAGGGCGAGAGGCAGGGGGGAATCTTTGTTGGGTGAATATTATTATTATTCTGTGTCAACAAAGGAGAGAGAGCTTGGGTTTCCATTAGCCTCGTTGCCACCGATTCGGCAGAAAGGAGTTTCCTCGCGGCTGCGCGTGCATCGAGTGACTGCAGCACGAACGGGGAAGACGAAGGCGAAGACGAAGACGGTGCATCTTGCGCACGACGGTCAAAGCCATCGCAGACGTTGCACCAGGTGATGGTCTTGGTCCAGGATGTGGCTCTCAAGCCTTCGCTTTAGCGGCGAATCCGGGGCCGGGCCTTGGTCTTGTGGTGCCGCTCGCGACGTCCACGGCTGATATCATGCTGGAATAGCCATCGTTTGGGGGGGGGGGAATTGTTGGCGTCAGCACCAGTGCAAGCAAGCTCAAGTCTGGGATATAATGCCCTATCTTGACTTTAGTTTTATGCTGGATGGATGGGGGCTTTGATTTTTAGGAGCCTCCGGACAGATATTACTGCAAAAGTTAAATACATACGGAGCCCAGCTTGCATGTCTGGCTAACACCACCAGAATTGCCGCAGATACCGCGATAGATGGGATTTTGTCCTGGAAGCTGGCCTGCTAACTAATGGTTATCGGAATGATAACTAAAGGTGAGAGTGAGACATCTGGTGGGCTTACTCCTTTTGATATCCTTGCCCTCTGGGATAATACGACGCCTGAGGCGCTCCCCTTATCCCGCAGACTCTTGGACAGAGTTGCACCGTTCCTGCAACATCATTGTTTGCTTATCCCAGAAAAAGATGGCATATTCTCGTCTTTTCGACCATCGTTGCTTTCAATGTTTCAGGACCTCGATCAAGGTGCATATCCCTCCCTTTACAGAATGCCCATGGAAATCGTGGAAATAATTGCCAGCTTCCTTCAGTATGGGGGCCTATGCTCATTACGGTTCACATGCAGACTCTTATATGAGAGAATTTTGCGCTGCTTTGGCGTCTTCCTGGCGACTGTGCCCCTGGATTTTTCGTCTCATAGTCTGCAGAGACTACAGGCTATATCCAGCCACCAGTATTTGAACCAATACGTCCAGTGCCTTTCTATCATGAACCAAACTCATAGAAAATTGGGGATAGACCTACGATGGAATAGGTCGTCTTCTGGGTGTCTCATTGTCCCTCAACATATAGTGGATATTCTCAGCGATGTCCTAATGCTCTTGGTCAATTGCCGCTCGTTCGAGGTCCATCATATTTATCGGCGAGAGCATCAATACACTTCTAATTTCTTAGGGGGAAGTGATGCGATAAAGATTCTCCTATACATTATGGCTGAAACGGCATTCCCGGTAAAATCACTCATGCTTGAGCGTGGAGTTGCTCGAGGATGGAGATACGGTGATCATATCCATGGGGAACGCCTGGATATTGCAGCTCTTCATAAGTTAGGCGTTCGAGCTGGGTTGTCCCAACTTCAAAGCCTTACGTTAAACTTTTAGAAAGAGCTCGAAAGCAGTATCGACTGGACCTGCGAACTGATAGGAGCCGCTACCAGCCTGACGATATTAACAGCCCGGCTGAATGAGTTTGACAATGCGCCGCTACTTTTTGACCGTCTTTGGCCAATGTTCTTCCTCCCTTGAAAGAACTTGTGCTATAGTCTTGTGAATTTTCCTCCCTGGAAGGATTTAAAGATTTTGTTCGTTATTTTCGGTCTAGTTTGCGAACTCTTTCTCTCACACGCATTAGACTAAGTACTAATGGATGGATCTCAGTTCTTCCAAGGCTCCGAGAACTTTTCCCATCCTTGACAAGTATCAAATTACATCACCTACGGGGAGACAAGCGACCTGATACATTGATAAGCTTTCCGGATATCCACAAGCACAAAACATCTTTTGAGATTAGACAGGGGACCTCATATTACTATAAAAACTGGAGGGGGAAACGGAGTTTGGTAGGTGTGCGGTATTCCGGGCCTGACATGGAAACCGCATTGCAGATAGTGGCGAGCTCAGCACGGGCTTGTTAAGAAAACTATGGCCGATCATTGAGTCTATAACAAGCATACAGACGGAAATATGGAATTCAGACTCCTGTGTAAAAGTCACTAAAATATTGGGTATCTATATATAGACTAAGCAGAAGAAGTACAAACTCTCCATGCTCCGAACGAAAATTAAGAAATATTGGTCATACCACTCAGGAAAATTCACGTGCATCTTCATCAAAGGGCAACAAAGACGAGGAGTTGCTGGAGAACGTATTGAAATAGGGCATTGGGAAGGTGGCCAGTAGTTCATCTCATTTTAAGCCTTGCTTGGCTCCTTGTAGCTCGGTGGTGGAGCTCCCATTGGGTAGCTAGAAATGCCGTCTCCTTGATAATAAGGTTGCTGATATCCTGGTTGGCCCTGTGGTGCATACGCCTGTTGGGGCGGGGCAGGACCCTGGTTCGGCATATACCCATATTGCTGCTGTTGCTGCTCCTGAGGGGGTGGAGATTGGGCAGGGTAAGGATATGGCTGCTGCTGCTGCTGATTGTACGGTTGCTGCTGAGGAAAGGGTTGTTGAGGATAGGGCTGAGGACTTGTGTTCTGCAAGGGGATTTGCTGTGGCGGCAGAGGCCCGCCCTGTCCCATGACGTATACGTTGGTTTGGTTTCCTTGAGCTCCTGAAGTTGCTGTCGCTGCTGCTGATGCTTGGGGTGCAACATAGGTGGTAGTAGTAGGTCTGCTTCGTCGTAGTCGGAAAAGAAGCACGATTATTAAGATGACGAAGATTATCCCACCAATAATTCCTCCAACCGTGGGCCCATAGCTGTAATAATAATATCTCTTTGCAAGGTGGTGTGGCTCGCTTGAGGACCGCCGGAGGAGAGACAGAGCGGCCATGCCTTCAAGGGTCTAAATATCTCCGAAACGGAATTATGAAGTCAACGTCTGCTGCGTATTGAGAGACAGGCCCTGGATTTGGTCAGTAAGTCATCCAGCAAATCTGAGAGCAAGTATGTGAGTCACCTCAGCAAGATATGTAGCACTCACCAAAGTAGTTATATGCTAACAAAAATTGAAGATAAATGTCAGTTTCCTTGCAATGGATGTTCGGTTTAGCTGGAATCAACTCCAGGTTGTTAGTGTGACAGCAGTGTTAGACTGGAAATTCTCCATTAGCAGGACAGCGAACTCCTTTCATAATTTATACCAACGCGCATGGAGAAAACAGCCTCATCACATTAACCCAACATCCTTGGCTTTCTCCTCCCGTCCTTTGCAATCTATATTCTCATGGGGCTTAGCCCTGCACCTCGTATCCTCACCATGATGGAGCTCCGCTCAAGCTCAGAACATGTTGGAGCTTCGCTAACCCCTGACGGAGTTCATGTTTACATTAACAGGCGGGTTTCTATGGGCACACGCCTCACGGTAATGGCAACGCATTAAATGAGACAATTTAGGCGAAACCATGCATTGTATGTAGCGAGGGAAAAGCAACAAGTTATATATCGCGGAACGCGAGATAGCTCCGGCAGCACCTGCAAAGGGGGATAAAACTTATCGCGAGGTCAAAAAACGCCCTGGAGTTGTTTTTAGAAGCTTTTAGCTTAGCGGGAGGTTGTGGATCCCTAAATCATAAATCCCATTGGCTGCAGTGACCCGCTTTTACGAGAAGAGATGAGTCAGCAAGACGAGGCTCGAGAACAAGCAACGACGAGACGAAAAGGCGGCAAACAGACGGTAAACAAAAGAAGGCTGTGGTCAGTTCAGAGACCTCTGCGATTATATCTTCCAGTATTCTATAGCTTATATAACAAGGTGTCTTCATGGAATATTTGTTTTAGTTTACTAGTTCGCTATAGCTATATGAAAACAGACTTCAAAGCTTATATTTGGCTAACAAGAATACAATAATAAAGTAGTGTCAAATTGAAAGTAGCAAACTTGTGCCCCCACCCCAATAGAGTGGGGGGAGAGTATTTTCCACCCCCTCCTCAGCCTCTTAGAAGGGAGGGGGGGGAGTAATGGCCTCAACCCCCCTTTTATAGATAGAAATTTTGAAAATTTTGCCTCTAACCCCTCTTTATTTATTTATTAAAAGAGAAATATATTAGATTAAATATTGTTTTATATTATATATAAAATATTATATTTGATAATATTATAATATATTATTATAATAATACTAAGTAAACAGGACAATGGCAAGTGGAGCCCCCTTCTCCCGCGCCTTCCCCTTCGGGCCTGGTGTCATCCCCTTCCAGTTAGCTCTCGCCCCTTCAGGTTTAGTGCGTCCGTAAACAGTTTAGCACACTACTTACTGCCTTGACCCTATTGAACTAGTATCGCGTTACCTTATATCTATATAAATCCTGTCGACCTCCCTCTATCGCACACGCACTTCCTCTTTCCCTTTCCCTCCTCTACGCCCGCATTCTCTGCCTTACCTCCCGCCCACCTTCATCCCGTCTCGCCTCGCCTGCGCCCCCTGCATTGTTCAGCTCTTATATCCATTGAGGTCCCCCGGTATACCGTGGCCTTAGGCTCCGCGGTCTCCCCCCACCTTCTCTCTCCCTCTCTCCTCTCTCCGTTTCCTGCGGTACTGGCTGAATAGCCTCTATCGTGATGGCTCAACGGCCAACACACTCACGGCCTCTCCCTCCGCGTAGCTACCATCTACTATCGGTATTCTCCCAAAGGAATTTAATACCCTAACTGCGTGTGCCTTTATAATCGTCGCCGTGGTCTCCCCCCCTTTTCCGTGGCCGCGTTGAGACCTTCGAAGCCGCTATAGCGATTGAGACCACCGACACCATGGCTGGGACAAGCCTTAGGGATTTGCTGCCGGAGATCCTCTCTTTGATATTAGAGGAGCTCCCCGACCTCTACTCCCTCTTTTCGGCCGCCCGCAGCCTGTCACGCCCCGACGTTTGGGGCGACCTTCCGCGTATCTCACGGCAAATCTTCAGGTGCACGTGTCTTGATGCAAAGATGGATGAGAGGGCCAGCCTACCCAAAGTATTCTGGGGGCTGCTGTCTGCTACCGAGTGCCGTGAGCTCGACGGAAACGCCCTTCGCCGCCTCTTTGACGAGGGCTGGAAGGTCTCAATTGGCCTTGGCCTCGAGGAGGCACTGATCCCTATCGGAATGGTCCTAGCTAGGCGCCTGTCCTCCGAGGAGGCTATAGGCTTCTTGATCGGTCTCTGCGTCCGATGCGCCCCGTGCGGCTGGTCTATCTTTAGTAAGGGGCGCCGGCCGGGTCGGCCACTTGGTCGAGTTCCGGCGCTCTATCCCGTCGTTAAGGAGCTAATCACGCTTCTCCTCCAGGCCGGTCGCGACCCTTGGTTCTTCCAAAGCGTCATATAGGTACTGGAGGCGGAGTATATCGCGTCGTGGTCCGTCGCCGTCGAAAGTGGAGGAGGCATCCGGCTCTACGGGGGACCCGGAGGTGGCGACTATGATACGCTCCAGAGCAGTGGGATGCTCCGCCTAGACTCTGCGGCTTGCGAGATGGTTATCAAAGTTGGACGTACCAGCCGTAGGGGGCTACACAAGCTAATTCTAAGCAAGCTAGATGCATTTGTCCAAAGAAGAGAGCAGGCGGGTCCTCAACTTACGGAGGTTGACGTCGAGGAGCTATTCCCCCGGGAAACTGCGTCGTCCACGTTGGCGGAGTGCCAGCGAGTGCTCCTACAGCGCCTTCGTTACAGGGATAAAAAGCGCAAGCGCTTGTCTAGCTAGACTACTTTACTTTTTATAACTATGTATCTACCGTAGCATCCGGAAATATCAGTCGACTAGTTCCGTGGTCTTTCTATAGGGCCTGTGCTTCACGCAGGCTATAACGAAGCTAGCTCTCCAGCAAGTTGAAGAGAGCTGGTAGCAAATTGACCCCATCTCCGCTTCCTAAAATCCGATTAAAGGGTTGGTCAATGATTTCGCTTAGGCACTACGGATAATGGCTCAGACAGGCTTGTATTTTTTTTTTTTTTGGCTTACATAGCTGTGGAATCAAACGGTATCATGTGACTTTTGGCTTTGGGCCCCTCTGACTCACAGAGCCTCGTTGGAAATTTCCAACGAAACCTTCATCTCCCAGATGCGGTTGCTGTGAGCTTAGTCAGCATATGCTGATGGTGTATAAAGCGGGAAACGGAAATAATTCCGACAGAAAACCCCCTTTCACCACCTTTCAATATGCAGATGTCCCTCTTATTCGGGACGACAGAGCGGATAACCCTCGATATTTATACAGATTAACTTGTACTGTTGAAGATTAGAGCAGAATTGTACTGGATATTACGTGACGTTATCACCCTCTAGCATCACGGTAAGGAACAACCAAAAAGGCGCCTCGAGTTTGAGGCTTATTTTATATGGACGGATGGCAAAGAAACCTAGAAGTATTAATGGTGAAATAAGGGTGAATGCTGAGGAAAATAAACCGTCACGTATTGAAAAACATAGCGTATGCTTTATGGAGCCATCGACCCATTACCTCCATTTTCGACGTAGGGTGCTCCTCGAGGCAAGCCGCGGACTCTAAAGCCTCCAACAAACAGTGTACATTACGAAACCCCCCTTCTGTCCAGCATCTCGCAATAATCGGGCCCAGCCAAACATTCTGCGTATTAGGAAGGGTTTCCCTCCGTGGCCAGGCAGCCCTACCGTTCGAGACCTCACCCCCGAAGAGATTGAACTCACACTGTTCTCCAGTTATAACTTCATACATCACGGCTCCGAGTTGACCAATATCTGTCTGAATTGAATACCCGTTGTCGTTGGCAGCCTCTATATTTGCTGTTAACGGGAGTATAGACGACTCGGTAAAGTCACAGATTTTGATAGAAAGGTCGGCATCGAGGAGGAGGTTTCGACTTGAGACATCGGCGACGATCACGCGACGATCATGTATGCGAGAAAGAGTGAAAGCAGTTTCACGGAACCAGAAGAGCTGAAGCAACCTCGACGGCCGAATTTTGGTGATATAGGAGCGGAGATCACCATTTTCCATTAGAGCAAGCCGAGTAGATTTCTCTGACATCTCGAGGCAGGCCACAACGCCTTCACATTGTCCTAAGCGTCGATAGGCCTCCTGTTCCCGTTGGATAACTTCGGTATTTATCTCAACCTCGTCATCGCTGCTCCTAATATATCGTAAAGGTATTTTGAGCGCGGTGTTCTCGACACGAATTACCAACCCCGACCTGCCATAGCCAAGGATTTGCTCTTGAGGAACGGAAATACCGTCAAGATCAAGGACTGGTGATGACATTTGATTTGTAGAAAACGGCTATTTGAGATATAAAATTGTCTGCAAGGAATTTAAATTTGCGGTTCGAGAATCTGGCGTCCAGACTGGAGTAATAAATAAAGTACTGAGGTGAACACGTGACAGTTGACGAGTGATTAAAACAGAGTCCACCCCTGTCACTAAGCGCCAACTCTCACCCCCGATCCAGCCGGCAAACCCACACCGCCGCTGCCTGCCCCCCCATCATCTTTCTGCAAAGGAGACGTATTGGCTTTAATTTTGCGATGGCGCGGGCAGTTGATTTTTCGCCTCGTGGAGCTTGTCTGCGAGGTTGGCGTTGGCGTTGCACACTGGCTCCCTCTCGACTCCGCGTCCTGGCACCATTGAACGTAGTCCTCCATAGGATCGAACTGGATACAATTTCCCAGCGGCCTTCCGATACAGTCTGGGAATCGCACTGGGGTTTTATGCATCTGCCAGCACATTTTGAATCTATGACGTTGATGAGAATAATCCTAACCATAGATGGGAGATGATATTACCGATTCTTGAAATGTACGCTCAAGCTCGAAATCCGCTTCTTCAATGAAAAAAAGCTCACTGCTCACTTTAAAGGTTGAGGTGGGAACATCCAAGTTTTTTTTTGGTAGATAGGTAACAACCACACGCCAGCTATTTGTAGGATTAAAGGGCATTTCTCCCAAAGCTATGACTCATATGTATGAAGACTACTATGATGTTGACTGACGCAGGCCCTGCATGAAGGCAGGAATTATGTTATTTTGGGCGAAAAGGGCCGTCGCGGCGCTTTGGTTCCCTTACCAAACACAAAATTTATGATTATACTTAATTATGCAAGTAGAGTTTCAACACCCTGCCGAGATCGAATTTATCGATTACTGGGGTAGTATTAGACTTTACGGCCATCACCCAACAGGTGAGGCAGAAGATCCGCCCATTATGCGGCGGTGTACTTACACCGCAACAACCCATGCATTCATAAAGTAGACGCTTGGCGGACGATGCTCCTTACAAGGTGGCTAATTGGCCCACCCCTCAAACGGAGAAAAGCAATGCAAAACCCAGCACCGAGACTATGGCTGGCTACGAAGCGCTGTGACTTAAAATCTTAGTGACTCACACGTAACACAGTCGCTTGCTGGCATAACGTCAACGGGCGTCCACTAGAACGAAGAAAGCCTTACCTATAGTATAGCTAGCTAATTGAACTTAGTCTAACTAACTTTTTATTAATATTGAAAACTTTGATTATAAAGATAGAATTAGACCCTTTAATATAATTAAGATTTTATACCTAATAATTATATAGGTAGCTATCGTTTATTTTAATATTACATATCTCACATACTGTTCGCCGTCGTTAAAACCGCAAGCGGATCTCTGCCATTTCATTTACATAGCATACAACGTGAATCCTCCCTCCCCGCGAACGTCATGCTGTTTTTCCACCATAACAACGTGATATTTTGTAGTCCTGGGCGAGTAGCTAACAAGTATCGGAATGAGCCTTTTATGGAAAGGGTCATTATGTTAAGGTGCCTTGCAGACGCAATAGAGGAAATCAAGCAATATCTCTGAATCATCTATTTCACCGTCAATCGCCACCGACGGCCCTTTGCGCCTGAAGAACGAGCGGTCAAAATAAGCAGGATAGAATCCAGCATATTCCCAGTCAATAATTGCCCTTATCTTTAATGAATTTGGGTCAACGATAACGTTATTTTGGGAGAGGTCATTATGACAAAAGACAAATTCATCTTTATCTGACTGTTAGGGCTCCCAATCATCGTTGAACGACTTTTGCATAGCACGATAGGGAGGGATCACAAGGCCCGTAGGACCTCCAATCTTCGAAGAACGGAGCGCATGAAGATTCTAGATATGTTTTTCTAATTCACTCTCAACTCTCGCTTTCTGATCCTCAGTAAGGCGATCCATGCTGACCCCCTCGACATACTCCATCACGAGATAAACGGCATCATCGTCTTCGAAACAGCAGTATAGGTGCGGGATAGGAATGGTCGAGTTTTCCTTTAATAACTGTAGAGTCGCAGCTTCATTCAGTATCCTCTCTCTCCTGAACCGTTCCCTTAAATTGGCTGACTTGCCATTCCTTCGGTCGAAGTGAGCGCTTGATAAACGAGACACCTGAACGATAGTACTTTCTTTCGTGGATAATACCGATACAATCTTTTTCCTTCCGGTCGTTTAACATCTGGTTGGTGAACGACATAGTAGTTGACAGAAACAGGAGTGAATAAAAATGATAGGAGATTTAGTGTCGGAATTCAGGAGAACTCCCCGGTCCCGACATGTATACTGATGCCAGTCACGTGGAGCGATAACTCTAGGCAGCAGCCCTTAGACCTCTATAAAGGTGACACTCGCTCGCGAGTCCTAGCGAGTCCTACTTGCTATAACTCCTCTTCGCCAGCCCTCCTTATCATAACAATGATAGGCCTTCCAACAAATGATCTTCAAATAAACGTCCTCCAATCTTTCGCCATGCCATCGGATCATTGCGGCAGCAGTGTCTCAACCACCCAGTCAGAGTGCCCGAGTTGTGGACAAGCCCCACACTGAACCAAGTTCCTTAATCCAGACGTAGTTTACGTAGCTAACAAGCACAAATCAGGTCGTCGCAACTAAGGGGCGGGCAAGTTGATCAAGTACCCATACTTTCCGATTGGAGGTCGGACCGTTGGGTGTCTGCCGATATATATACCCGAGAGAGGTTTCTTTGCCTTTAATACTATTGCTTCTATATTGGCCGTCAAGAGAAGTTGCTCAGAGAGTCGAAAAGGCTTGTTTGCATATAGCATCAGGATTCTTTATGCATAGAAATTTACATATTTGACTCCTATTATTGCCTCCACGAGTGTGATTTCTAGCAAGGGTGACGCCGCGCTGGAGGTCGGGAAGTTTCTCCAATATCAGAGTGAGTATCTCCGGCAGTACGTCCCTGAGGCTGGTCCCGGCCATGGTATCGGTAGCCTCGACGGCGGTAGCAGCTTTGAAGGTCTCAACGGCTTCTGAGACAGCCCGGACAAGCCTTATGCTCAATCGTTGTTTTTCTTATTGTAAAGCTGTGCTTGGAGTGAGTTACGAATACAATTAGGATCCTGCTAATTTCAAGAAAAGCCATAAGTTCTGACCCCACTTTATAGTTTGAACATTTAAAAGCTTTCTGTAGCAGAACAACTATTAAAAAAGCTCCGTCTTCATTTCATCTTGCAGTCGGCCCGAAACATGTCCAAATGGATGGATAATTGAAGTAGTCGCGCATTATGCCCGCCACGACTCCTCAGGGACCAACCTAAATAAAGGTTCCATAAGAAATTAAATCTTAGGAGTAGATAGCTTCTGGTAATGAATCCCAACAAGCTGTGTATCTTCAGGAACGAACTAGCTAGCCTCAGGAGGCACGTAGAAACTATAATGCAGCAATAAATGCAGGGAAACCCGGCCGCGTTATAACTAGAGGGGCCGTTTTTTGACTTAGTAGGTATATAGCTAGCAGTTCGAGTCTAATATATTTGAGGGAAGCGAATATCTACCTAAGGGAGATTATATAAACCTTTATTTTTCATCGTCTTCAAAAGATCTTATTATCCCCGACCCGTTTATCTCTAAGCTAGGTTCCCTCTATCATCAACCTATATTTGGAGCATAGGCTCTACCCTCTACTAGTATGCCTGGCCCTTATAGAATACCTTAGACTGTTATAGTAATAAGTGGCGTTCAACTCACAAACTATAATGGGACAAGAGGAGTCCTCGAATCAATCCAATGTTTAACTAATCATATCTGCTTCTGCTGCTTATAATTTGACATTTATTTAATCGGACAGCGATTTTCAATCAATACAATATCCCTTTTATACACCTTGCATTTTATATCTATGTTGAAAGGCTCCCTTTTGCCATCGACATGGCTGAAAATTTGTGTAACTCTTCAATTTTCAATTTCATTTCCATTTGGCCTTCATGAATTCCGATGAGAGTTGTATTATATCGCCAGCCCCGAAGTTCATCCTCGAAAGTCTGTAAGCATGTGATCATCACAGATGACCATTTGGCAGAGATGATTGAGGCTACGATCGAAAATGATACTGGTATTCACTAAAACGAAAGCGTTCTTACGACTCGCGCTTATTGCACCGACCTTATATCACGCGACTAACTGCCAGCCCAAGCGCCCAGGATTTCTACCGAGGCGTGATTGACGACAACACTACAACCTGACCGTTCACGAGCTGGTCGGCCGATCCAAATAAAACTCCCCAGCTGATGCACTGGGATATTGACTAAGGAAAACGTGTATCCAGTAGAATAGAATAATCGCACTAATTCCTGAGAGAGTTAACATTTTTATCCCATGTCAATTAGTCGGATATACACGTGGATTAAGCCATAGTGGCATAATGACCACACTATATTCTTTATGAGTGTTTGGTATGACCGTTTCATTCGCATCGGATCGGTACCTGACTGTCGATCCCGACAATGGGGCAGTTGCACGGGAGCGATATTGAATTCTCCGACATGGGCGATGGCACGAGGCTAAGTAAACACCCTGTCCACGGTATCTAATGTGGAATATAGTCGAGGCGAATTTGAGTTGGTACTCCTAAGTACTATGCAGTAATGGGGTATTTGGATGCCTGGCTCCTAGTTTGTGTCCTATTAAACGAAAAAGTCGGCTGGAGAATGGACAATTATCGAAACCTTACCATTATCAAGAGTACATGAATGAAATAGACGACTGTCACATCTCCTGCGCGTGCTATCTTTTCGAAATATGACCACTCCGTACTCAACAGGAGGTCCCTCCATCCGTGGGTAGTATCCCATTCCCCCGTAATGTTCACAAGAGCCATCAAAACATTTATGTCCATCATCTCACCGATAACTGTCAAAGATGGAAGCCACAGAGAGGTAAAGGGTGACGTGCCAAATTTCTGTAGTGGTGTTCCTGGCCCGGCACCAGTGCAAGTCATGAGGAAGAATGACGTCCAAAAGTCATCTCTAACATGTCAACAGTATCTTCGGTTGTGTAACAGTAGCCACGAGAGGATAGATATATAAAGGCATTCGAATGGGTAAACGATATGTCTCATAGTCCAAACAGACAGACAGTTCTATAAGCCTTTCCGAGACACCTGTTCAAGGACATAGCCTGAATAGGGTGATATTAGATTTCTCCCCTTTTGTACGCCACCAACCGGGTCACGCAGTTGCCAGATCAAGCACAGCATGAAGACCCCGTTCACCATACTGGCGGCCCTGACCGCGGCAACAACAGTAGTGGCCAGACCATTTTCAACCAACGGGACGGAGCTCAACAAGCATGCAATGATCGGGTATCTACATGCAAGCTTTGCTAACGGGTCTGGCTATTTGAAACTTGCAGATGTTCCTGATGAATGGGACATTATCGAACTATCTTTTGGGGAGCCTACATCTGTGGACTCGGGGGAGATCAAGTTTGCCATGTGCCCCAAGACAGAATGTCCTAACGTCGAAAGTGAGGAGGAATTCAAGGCTGCCATCAAGGCCAAGCGAGCCAAAGGCAAGAAGGTACTCCTATCAATCGGAGGGCAGAACGGTCAGGTCCAGCTCAAAACGACCGAAGCAAGGGATAAATTCGTCAGCTCGGTGGGAGGTATTATCGACAAATACGGCCTTGATGGGCTGGATATTGATTTTGAGGGACACTCTCTTTACCTCGACCAGGGAGACACCGATTTCAAGAATCCAAAGACGTCCGTGGTTGTCAACTTGATTGCTGCATTGAAGTCTCTGAAGGGAAAGTATGGCAAGGCCTTCGTCTTGACCATGGCACCAGAGACTTTCTTCGTGCAGCTGGGGTACAGCTCATATGGCCCCTCGAACGGCAACGATGCCCGTGCGGGATCCTATCTGCCTGTTATCCACGCCATGCGAGACGACTTGACTGTTCTGCAGGTACAGAACTACAACTCCGGCCCGATTATTGGTCTTGATGACCAGTACCATAACGTTGGCACTCCAGATTTCCTCATTGCCATGGCGGATATGCTCAAGGCTGGTTTCCCCGTGGCCAAGACGAACAACACCTTCCCACCGCTGAGAGAGGATCAGATTGCCATTGGACTACCATCCACCGTCAGCGCTGGCAACGGCTTCATCGACGCAAAGGGCGTACAGGACGCCCTGGACTGCTTGATGAAGGGCGAGTCTTGCGGGACCTACAAGCCTCGCGGTGGTAAATCCCCATCCTTCAGGGGTCTGATGGCATGGTCCATCAACTGGGACAAATTCTCCAACTGGGGATTCCTGAGCCCCCACCGCAAGTACCTCGACAGCTTCCCCTGAGTTATTAGCTTTCTACTATTTTCCTCCTTTCTGTTAACTCGAAGACCTTCATGTCTATTCCTTGTACAAAGAGACGACGTCTATATTTTGGATATATGGATATATATATGCTTCACGTGATATCTGGATATCCCAAAGGGGAAGTTTTTACTTCCTCGATGTTTTTTTCGGCCTCTTATGGATTTTTGACGACTTTTTGCTCTCTGTATTGTATAGATAGATTGAATATTATGAATGAACGAACGATCTGATGTTTTCTTCTTGCGTGGCCACTTGATATCATGGAAGCCGTTCTTTTCCCCCCTTGTCGGCTCTGCTGCAGTTTCACGTCGGACAGCAGCAACATCAAACACAGGCCCGATACAAGCCCTTCTCACCACCACCTGCGTCGTCTCAGCTGTCTCTCCTGTCCGTCTGCGTCCATCAGGAGCCTCCAGCTGTCTTTTTGCGTGGTTTTTCATGGCAACGGCCTTAGTAAGCTCGCCTCCCATTCTCGTATTCGACTGATCGCGAAGCTGATGGCTCGTTATTAACCCTGAAGGCAAAGCTGAGCCGCCCATGGACATTAAACCTCCGAGCAGCAAAAAGAAATTTCAAACGGGGGAATATCTTGACAGCGAGCGACAATCTCGGTGACAGGTCCTTCGTCTGGAGGACCCATCTTGTGTGAAGAAACAGCGTGAGTCTCCATCGTAATCGTTGTATTAGCCGGCTGGCCCAGTCTACGCTCCGCCCTGGGTTAGTTCGGCCCCTGCATGAACTGCCCCTTGTCTCCCTTTAACTAATCTGATTAGCTCCCTTTTTTTCCCACTCGCGGCCTGAGGTTGAGCCCGTACATTTTCAACAGTCATCAAGAAATTTCCCCCCTTCGAACGACACCTCGCCAGGCATTCATACATATATTTAAACATCGAGACCCCTTGTTTCGAACCTCGCAGCCAGCTTATCGTGATGATATGACAGCAGAGGCAGGGCGTGCTCTCTAGCTTTCCCAAACCAGACACTCCTTTTATAACCAACAAAGTCGAAAGAAACGGAAGGAAGACGGATTACAAAGACAAGCATTTATCGATGTCCCGAACGAGAATCAACGCATTCCATTTTAAAAATACCATCGTTACCCCCGAATCGAAGTCGCAGCTGATTGCCTGCCCGATAAAACCTGATGGCGACCCCTAACAACGAGCTTCCGTTGCCGGACTCCCTTTCGATCTCTCAACAGTCCACAAGCCGGCTCCAGGCATCAAACCCGCAAGCGCGGTCACCGTCACCATCCCAGTCTTCAACACCAACTCAACTCCATCCAAGCCGACCCTTAGTCTCCCCCCGCTTACAACATGTCGCAGGCGAGATTCCTCCCGCCCTCTCTCCGCTCGATGCCTTTGCAGCGCAGGGCCGGCTGTTGGCTAAACAATTTGACGAGTCCCGCAAGGCTGGCCGCAGGTTAAGCCGGCTGCCGCCAGCGAGCGTGGAGCGGTCACTTTCCCAGCCGAGAGGAGGGTACCATCGGACGCTGTCTGATGAGGATACCAGGCAGGCCCAGACGCCGATGCGCGCGGGGTTCAACTTCGAGCAGAGAGGACGGGGTAGAGGAGAAGCGGAGAGAGCGCCCTTCAGCAACGGCATGTCGCTCGAGGAGCCTTCCTTTAGGCCCAAGTCACAACATCCCAGAATAAGCGGACTCCCTCTTAACACCAGCACTGGAAATACGTTCCCTATAGATGATAGCTGGGATACCAAGTCGGTTGGAAATAGCGCGTATGGGATCCCCCGCGCCAACTCTCCAGATACATTCTGGGACCAAGATGGCTCGCGTGAACGAGGCAGAACTCCTTCTCCTGGCCCCGGACCGACTATCGACAATAGACTGCATATTGTACGTTCTCATTCACCACAGCCTGGCGGCTCGCCCACACGGTTCTATTCAACCCAACAGCAACAACGCAGCAATAGTAACAACTCCGGACAGCAGCATAATCACCTTGCGCCTCCCCCGCTACTACCGTCTTACAGCAGCCCTGCAGGCTCTACACAGGAGAGCTCAGATGATGACGGGTCTAGCGCGAAATCCACGTTCTCCCTGCCTCGCAAAATGTCGTCGAGCAGCGGCATATCAATGCTCCATTCACCTCAACCGTCACAAATGAGCCGAACATACCAGCGGTCCCCGTCGCCGAACTTAGAGGCGGTAACAGGAGGAAGCATGACGCCTAATCTAACGAAGCCATCTTTCAATTTCTCACGGCCGATGAGCCGATCTAATACTTCTCAACCTATGCACGACTCCGCTACGAGTTCTCCAGCTACGGTTAATACGGGTGCGGCCAATTCATTCTTGAACAGGGAAAACAAACCAGCACCCATAACCGTGCCGGCGCCTCTGACCACGCCATCTCCGTCTGCGGACGAGGCCACCGAACCGCCCCTCTCGGCTGGACAGTCGTACATCTATGCAAAGTTCTCCCTTCCCCGCGGCCGGTTGATCTCACGGGACTCCAAGACCTTCAATGGCGGCGAACTGCTGCAGGAAGACTTCCAGCCCCCCCAATTTGAGAGATCGATCACGGATCCTGGAGCAAGCTATGGATCTACTCAAGACCAGACTCAGACTCAGACTCAGACTCAGACACAGACGCAAACGCAGATACGGACAGAGACCCCATCACCAACTCAGAATCCAAACACAACGTCTCCAGCGAAGAGTATCAAGCGGGTGCGGCCGTCGCTTGAGCGAGAACAATCCAGCGCGAGCATTGCTTCAGCCAACGCTGAGGCCAAATCAGTATCCGTTCAAAGCCAGAGCACCGTACGTGCCGCCACTGCAGAAGAGAAAGAGAAGGATAAAGACGCAGAAAACGAGCCGACGACGGCCGAAGAGCATGTAGCCAGGGGTATTGAATGCCACGAGTCGGGTTCGCTGAAGGAATCAACCTACCACCTGCGCCTTGCAGCCATGCAGAACCACCCAACCGGCATGCTCCTGTACGCCCTCGCCTGCCGTCACGGCTGGGGCCGCCGGGCCGACCAGACAGAAGGTGTGCAGTGGTTACGCAGAGCAGTCGACACGGCCGGACTAGATCTGGCGAGCAGCAACCCGCCTAGCCCGGAGACCTGCGACGCAGCACTGCAGAAGCTGCTATCTAGCAACGGTAGCGGAAAGATGAGCATGGCGGAGCAGAAAGCGCGCCAGGCCCAGCTGGCGCTGGCAATCTACGAGCTGGGCGTGAGCAACCTGAACGGCTGGGGCGTGGGACAGGACAAGGCTCTTGCACTGAGATGCTTTGAGATAGCAGGGCGGTGGGGGGATGTCGATGCGATGGCCGAAGCCGGCTACTGCTATGCCGAGGGCGTCGGCTGCAAGAAGGACCTGAAGAAGGCGGCCAAGTATTACCGCATGGCCGAGAAGGGAGGCATGAGCATGGTAGGAAGTAGCTGGTACGTATATTTCTCTGCTCTCCGCTACCCCTTTTGCCCTCTATGATGGGAGTACTGATCTGATGAGTGGATGCAGGATCTACAAGGACAAGTACATGGACGACGATGCGGTGTCGAAGAAAAAAGGGGGAGGCAGCGTAAAGTCGACGAGCTCCAAGTCTCGCACACGCAGCCGCAGCATCTTTGGCCGCAAGAAGCCCTCTGACGACTGACCGACCCACCATTCTTCTCCTCGGCTCTATCACATTCACTTCTGCTTTTTTCTCTTGACATCTTCATCTTTTCCATCTATCCTTTTTTTATTCTCCCCCCCCCTCCCCCCCCTTTTCCTCTCCCTCCCTGCCCAATCTACTTTCTGCCAACTGTATATATCTCTACCTTCTTGGTGCCAGATACCCTTTGCTTACTAATTTCTTACAACTTTACCCCCTTTATTTATATATAGCATACATCTACATACTTATTATTCCCTTATATATAGTTTTCTTTAGGCGCAATGCATGTTAGAGCATTTTCTGCGTACTTACCAACGTCCTCCTTGCTTATGTACTCAGTAAAATGCTCCTCTCCAGACCCCAGGTTGCGAGGCGAGGTCGGAAATTAACACGAGAGACCCTCATTTCCCCGGCTCGTAAAAACAAAAAAAGCGCCAGCCCACGCTAGCCGAGCCTCCTCCTTGGACTTTTCCCTTTTTACCCCGGAATCGGCCAAGGTCAGGCCTCTGTGCCATGGTTTGAAGGGTTTGAGAGTCAAGTTTGAGCGGCTCGGCAGGCGTAAAAGATGCGGGTGTACCTTGGGGTGGCCTAGCAGTCAGTTTAGTTAGCCGGACATGAGAAGCCTGAAGCGGACTTAGCTGGGCTGCGGGAGCATGGGCCGCAGGTGGCAGCATGCAGACTCGGTGTCATATGAAAAGAAGAAAACGACAAGGAGGAGCAGGTGTTTTAAGCAATTGAGAAGACGTCGATGAAACGGCTTGCCGTCGAAGAGTTGCTTGTTCCCCGTAGGTCGACTCACTACCGCAGAGCCCGTCGCTGCCTTTCGTCCGCTGGCCTATCCCAACACTTGCATCGGCCATATGTCAGTATGTACATACGTCGGTCCAGCATGAGGGGAGTCTCAGCGTCCACCGTCCACTGTCCCAGGACGGCTTCTGTCCGAAGCATCCAAGTCGTCTCGTCTCACCTTGGGACTCCATGTTCGTCGATCCAGCTCCATCCATGAAGTCATGAAGCGCTGGCCAGTACTGCTACTTCTACTACGATTACTGCTGCTACTGACTACTGACTACTACTCACCGGCCATCACCGTGAGTATGCACGTCACCGTAGCTATGCCGTGTCATCGTCAACAGTGCTCGAACAGTTAAGAAACGGGCAAGCCGACGCCGCCAGCCGCAGCAGCAGGAGAAGAAACGAGCTTTTCCCCCCCCCCCCCAAGCAAAATGCTAAATATGCACGCCGACTGGTCTGTGTCGCTCGCATGGCAAGCTCTTCCAAATAAAAAGAAAAAAAGCAACGAGAGTCCCTTTTCTTCTTTTTTTTTTTCTTCTTCTTCTCCTTTTTTTTTCGCTGCCGCTGCTGCTGGCTTTCTTTTGCTCTCGGTTGGCTTGCCATGATCGACGGGATGCCCGTCGCAAATCTCTCTTTTGTCACGTGGGGGCTTCGGCATGTGCTGGCCTGCTCGTTTTCGTTCTTCTCTCTATTACTATCAACTATCAATTATCGCAGGCGATCTCATCTGCACTCCGCGACTTCTTTCCCCGGGCTCCTGCAAACCCAATCGCCTCGCCCACCCGTCTCCCCCTTTTTTCTTCCTTACTTTTTCGTCTTGTTGTTAATAATAATAATAATAATAATTGTAA